GTAAATATTATGTTAGTCCTAATGTTATTGAAAAAGGTTATGAATTATCGATGTGTTTAAATAATAAAGATAATTATCAAAAATTTCAAAACTTTATGGATCGTGGTTATTGTAAAGGAAAAGATGGTAGAATATTTCTAATTAATGAAATTACATTGATGATAATTTAATAGATATTTACTTTCTGTAAGAACTCTAGTTCGAGGTTTTCATAAACTGTAAAAACAAAGTAATATATTTTACATCTTATCTGAAGACATCTATTGAGTATGTTATTTTTATAGTTATTATAATAATACTGTTATATTACTTTATTAATAATATATTTAGTAATGTATAAATAATATATTTTTTTTCATCTTAAAATATATGAGTACAGATAATACTTCTCAATCAAAATCAAAATCATTAAAAACATTTTTCAAAAATTTGTTTTTTTCTAACAAAACAAATCAAACTACAAAGACGGACCCATTAAAACAAATGGATACTTCTGAAATTATTAAAGTAAGAGACGCAACACGAAGTGGGAGCAAAGCTTTAACACGTACGGAACGAAGTTCCTCAGATCCGAAAAATCGTAGCGGAATCGAGGATGCAACGCGAAGCGGGAGCAAAGCTCCAACACCAAAACTAGTATTTGGTATGTCTTATTCTTCAAATGAAAGTGAAGATGATCATTATATTGACGAGAAACTCATGCTAAAGGCTGAGCGAAGAATCGACACATCTTTTAGATGTGGTGAGACTTTATCTGATATTACTTCTAAACATATTATAGCTTTACAGAAGATAATAAACAAATACAATTTAAAAGAAATAGATATGTTAAAACAATGTAACAAGGAAATCAATAGATATATTAATAATAACCCAGAAGTTAACTTAATCAATACAAAAGATTTAAATGCTACTATTTATATAAATGGATATGTATTTTGTAAAATTAAAGGTAAACAAACATTAATAAAGAAACAAGTTAGAATTACTAAAAATGATTTTGACAATAAAGTCAAAAATATAGAGGGCAAAAAGCAAGAACAATTTGTATTATTACTTAATAAAATAGAAAAATTAGAAAACAATCAAAATAATATGAGAGATGGAATTATAAATAAGATGCTTCCGATATTAGAACATTATATAACTGTTAATAATTTAGATGTCAGTAAATTATTTGATAATTAATATTTATAAATAGATACTTTTATTTTTAACAATTATAGGTTCTGGGATATCGGTATCTTCATCTGTATTTAAATTATATAATAATTTTAAAGGACAAAGCTCAATATACTTTCTAAACGCTTCATTCATATACTGTTCAGTCATTTTAAGGAAGATAAAAAATTACATTAATATAAATTTACTATATATAAATTTACACCGAACGGACCAAAGGTCCTTAAGTAGACTGTGTCTCCGAAGAATCGTACGGTTCTTGAGAACCTGAGGATCTGAAAGATCCGAAACGAATGTGAGATTCTAGAGACATCAAAGATGTCGATATTTTGGGAAAATTCAGTTTCGCGTACCTCGCGATTTAATTAAAGTATTATAAAATATAGATAAAATGAGGTCCCCCCCTAAATCTACAGAATTTATATACTACTATGTTTAATTTCAAATGTTTTTTTGTTGGGATTATTTTAACGAATTAGTTATTTTCATGTTATTTTAATTAAGAATATTTCAAATTTTAAATGATAATTATTTAATTTTTTTTAAATTTAATTATGTTTGGCTAAAATGTATCGTATTTGTTTTTTAATATATGTATTATTTAAAACAACGATTTTTATTATTTTAAATATATACAAATTAAAAATATAAAATAATTAAATTTTTTTAATTTATTATACTATTATTAATAAGATTAATTTATTATTTATTCAATTTTATTTAACTATATATTATTTAATAATAATATATATTGTTATTTAATAATTTAAATCATTTGTGTATTTTCTTTCAAAAAATAATGCTATATTATAGTATTATAATTTCATTTATTTAAATAATAAATATTAATTATTAATTATTATATGATATTTAAACAAAAAATATATTATTAATTTTAGTTTCTTATAGTTTTTGAAAAAAATTTAATGTGAATATAAAAAACTTTATCACAAATTCCATATTTTTGGTTATTTATTTTTTTAAATTTTTTATTTTTGAACCTTTTTTCAACTTTTTATGTTATTAATCCAAAATGATAAATAAAAATTAAACATTTTGTGATTATATTTCGATTATTTTTAATTTGTTCATAATTGTTTTTTTTGTGAATTTATGGGATAAAAAATAAAAATTTTAATGTTAAATTCTAATTTGGACAATTTTCACGGACCATGTATAAACCGATTTTTGTTTTGAAACATCGCAATTTATTTCAATTTTTTGTAATTGAAGTAAATTCTTACACATACATAGATGCATAAATACATGGTGCCAAAATCTTAATTTTATATTAATTCTTTTCAGAAAAAAAAACAATAAAAATCAAAATTTAAAACCTAATTTTTTACATCAACAAATCCCTAAATTTCATTAATTATCTTGGCACCCATTTATTATACTATCTGTAGTCAGGCAAAAATTTTGTTTATTCTCCGACGTTGTTTAGGAATTTTTATTATATAGAAACTATAATATTTGGGTAAACTATTCAAAACATTACAAAACCATCGTTTCCTATTTTTACTGGGGTTTCGACGTTTTTCCCAACTCCCATTTTTAAACACATTTTGAGTGTTTTTTTTTGTTAAACAAACAACTTTTTTGGACAGATTTTTTTATTTATAAATCGTTGTAAAATACCTCAATCATTTTTTGAATGTTTTTTAAAAAATTATTCTTGAAAACGTCAAGAACATGGAAGAATTATTAAAGTGCTATAAAACCCGAACATATATAATATATAACATTAACAATGAAGTGTGCTGCCTCAAAAGCTAACTTTTGCTCTTCCAGAAGATATTGTGGAAAATCTCCAGAAGTTGACACAAACATCATTTCCGTCGATTTTAGTAATCTTCAAACCGAAATTGAACCTCTTCAAAGTGAACCCCCAAAGTGTCCGTCGTGTGCTTCATATTTCACTCTTAATTCTTTTACGGAAGATGGCAACATAACTTGTCCATTTTGCAATTCAATAACTCACGTGTCTTCTCCAAAAGATCGTTATATATCAGAAGAGACTGTCGAGCTTGTGATATCTCCTCCCGAACTTCAAAAACTTGAAAAAGTCGAAGAAAAGACCGAGAAAGCTGAAGACAACAAAACAATTGTTTTCTGTATTGACGTGTCAGGTTCTATGGGTTCTAGGCCAACCGACAAAAATGGGAAAACATTGAACAACACTTCTGTTTTGGAAGTAATCAAGTCAGCAATGACTCACCAAATCAAGGCGATGATCACTGAAAATCCACATCAGAAAGTTTGCATTGTCACATTTGATAGTGACGTCACAATCCTTGGAGACTGCACAAAAACACCAATAAAAGTGAACCGCAGCTTCATGAATGACTTTGACAGTTTAGTCGACATTGCAACCGAAAAAATCGAACTATCAACACTTGAAATTTCGTCAGAAAAAATCCTTTCATCGCTCAAAGCACTTCATTCAGGAAGTTGTACTGCTCTTGGCCCAGCACTTTTGGTCTCGACAGTCGCTGCTGGAAAACAAAATAATGGCTCTGTGATTTTGTGTACTGATGGTCTTGCAAATGAGGGACTTGGAAGTCAAGGAAGTCAAAATGAAAAAGCATTTTATCAGCATGTTAGCGAAGTGGCGAGAAAGAGTGGAGTCATAATAAATGTCAACACCGTGAAGGGGTGTGATGCTAATATGAAAGTGATTGGTGAGTGTGCTGTACTCACTGATGGACAAGTGATGGTGGTTGACCCAGAAAACATCACAGACGCGTTCAAAGGCGCACTTGACTCCGAGTTGATCGCAAGACAAATTGTTTTGGACGTTTTCCTCCCACAAAGTTTGTACGTCAAGGACGAATTTTCAGATGTAAAGGTGAGTAAGAAAAGTGTTGATGTTGGGAACGCACTTGATGACACAACTTACCAATTTAAATACGCCAAGAGAAATGGTGACGATAAATTGGATACTTTCACAGTTCAACTTGGGATAAAATACACAAAGAAGAATGGAGGAGTCTATTACAGAATCATCACAAGAAAAATCGAAGTCGCTAAAGAAGACGAAAAGGTCGATTTGAATGGAGAAGTGTTGCAGACGTATTACATCCAGCAAACTGCAGAACACAAAAGAAGAGGATCTATTGAAAGAGCTAAAGAAAATATTGGGATGTTCAGACAGGCACAACAAGTCTCCAAACAAGAAATGCAATCAGAATATAATACTTATGCAGATGACATGGAAGATAAACTCGAGGAAAACAACGACGAAGCATGGGCTGTTAATCAGACCGCGAGTAAGTGGAGCATGAAGAAAGCAAAGAAATTTAGTGGAAAATAATTCTTTTTAGCGATTTTTTTTCTATTTTTACATTAACATTTTTGTTTAAAAAAACCGTATTTGAAAAATACTTTTAAATATGATATTGAATTGAATTTGATATATTGATTAATAATTTTATTATTATTAATTGTAAGTATTATCGAATGTTTTTTGTTTAAATCGACAATTTATTTATATATTTTTACTTAATTTATAATATATTCAAAGTCTTTATAATTATATAATTTATAATTGTATTATTTAACATTTATTAATCAAAAACAACAAATAAACAAAGCAATCAATCAATAACAATCAAACAACTCATCTCTTTGTATCTTTCATTTCATGTTCTTGTAATTTTATGAAATGCTCTATATCATATTTGTTATTTAAGCGTTCTTGTTTTTGTACAATTTGTTGTTTTGATTTGGATATCATACCATTGAAGCACGAATCATAAATAAACTTGGAGTTTGGTCGGTTTTTAATCAACAGGAGGGACTTTTTTCGATATAATAGTCACGTTGGTTATGCAAATGTTCATACACATTGGTATAAACTCTTTTACCTCTGTACAACATGTTGTTTCTAAATGTCTTGTTTTTGTACAATTTTGGAGCAGATCAATAAAATAGTTGATAGTTAGGCCATATTTTTCATTCTATTTTTTAACAACATTGAGGCACTTTTTATAATAAAAAGCCGCAATAACCATGTAAGTGTTCATTTGAATTAACACTTTTATTTTTATAAGTCATGTTGATATAGAATGTGATAATATACGATTAAAACAATGTTCATTTGTTGTTTGATTGTTAAGACATAATTACTATGTATATATATTGAGGACAAGGATAGACTCTTTTATTCTAAAAGAGTAACAACAATAGGATTGGTGTTTACGGTAGATTCTATTTTTCATGCAAATATATTCAATATTTGCATGATTTGCCGACTCATCACGAGCCGGCCCATTTTTAGGAGATCGTATTCTAATTGGTTAATATTTATAAAGTTGATCAAAAAGAAACAAGCCATTTTTTATAATAACAATGTTTGTTGACCAAGTGGGAAGGCGTCATATTCACTTTTGATAATAATAATAATAATAAAAGTGAATATAATAATATAATAATAATAGTAATAGAATAAAGAGAGTATTTTGGTATTTTTGACTCGTTCACCAGCGACGCCTTCATTGTTATGTGTTATAAATTTGGTTTGGTTTTGTCACTATTTCAAAGAAATAGTGAAAATAACACATAATATATTCTTACCACACTGAAAATGATTTCTAAAATGTTTGTTTCTCATATATTTGTATCATTGACAATCGTGTTGGTAATACAATTTGTTGTTTTAGTATTTAGTCATAGTTTTTATGCTTTTTCATATCATATTCATTTCAAGTTTTTGAGAAATGAGGTTGACTGTATATACATTAATCCACTTGGTCTTGTATAAAATAGATTCGAGATAATAATAGTATGATCTACTTTAGATCATGCGATTATGTCTAACATGTCATTCTTCAGGTCTGATATGTTAGATTATAAAATTCTTGCTTTAAATATCAATTGTTTTATCTATTTTTATATTTTGTATTTTTGTAAATAAATAACACGATAAATTATTTGAATCTGTTGAAAACACAATCACTTTGGATCTTTTTATGCTTTTTGTTGTATTCTTTTATAAGTATTCAATGCACTTTACTTATTGATTGATTATTTTTTCTGTTAAATTAGAACCCAACAATTCTTTACTTAAAATATGGGCTATTTAACCATCAAAAAACAATGCAACGCCACCTGTCTCTTTTTTCATTGTTGTTTAGTCGTTTTTATTGATATTTATTTATATTTAAAAATTTAGGTGTAAAATTTAAGTTTAAATCAAAAATAGTTATTTTAAAAAATATTTTTTTATTAAAAATCATGTATGTTGTCAATATCGTTGATTTATAGGGTGGTATATCTTAGTGATTCTTAATATGTTCACAAATCAAATTTTAATTTTAAGTTATGTCTTGTAATTTATTAATTATTATTATAATGATTATATATTTTGTTGTTTAAAAAATCCAAAAGCAATTGTTATTTTAAAAGTCAAGAAATAAATATAAAAATTGTCTATCAAAATATACAACAAAGAAAAAACTAAAATTAATAATTAATTTATAAAAATCAACACACAAGTTATTTATACAAACAATTTATTTTATTTTGGGAAAAATGATAAATAAAAAATATTTTTAGTAATTGAATATAATTTTTACATATTTTTTGAATTTTTGATTGTTGGAATTTTAAAATAGACCCTTTTGTTTCGTCCTTTTTAATAAAGTTATAATTTTATTAAATTAATTTTTTCTTACATTTGGTTTCTTTTTAGTAAAAGAATGGTGCGCTGTATTGAACCTTGGGTGTTGAGACTAGTGTACTAAGTATTCAATCTGGGCTTCGATCCATCAGAATAATAAGTGTCATGTTTCTTAACTTTAGCAATTTTGTTTAAAATCATCTTCTTTTGTGTTTCAAAACCCTTGATCTGGGTTTGTTCTTTATCTTTTTGTTTGAAGTCTTGTCTTTGTCTGCTTGCTAATTTGACTGTACAGCTATCAAAGCAGTCCAGTCCTTCTTTTTTGCTACAAATACTTCTTTTTTTCATTCTTTAGTTATTTTGTGTAAATAGTTATTGAATTCAAAACTTCAACGTCTGTTTAACTCGTGGTATATTTAACCGTAAAAGACCAATCAGCCAAGTCTTTAATTGTCTTATTCGTGTTCTCTTTTGCTGTTTGTACATATTTCTAAGAAATATTTATTGATTGTTTATATTATTGATTAACTTTACTATTTTGTTGTTGTTGCAAAATATTTCATAGTTGTGAAGGCTTTTTACACATAATGATCTGAGTTATTCGACAGCTCTTACAGATAGAGTAATTAATTAATGGGTGACAGATTTATTTTAAGTAATTTAATAAGTCTTTTATAGAAATTGTTTTTTGTAAAAAAAATAAAAAACCAAAAACCAAAAACCATCTTTTTACATCAATTAATCCCTATATTTTTGTCACCCAATTTTCCTTTCATCTGTAATTACAAAGTTATAATTAAATATAATGTTTTAATTTTAAAACCTAATTTAATTATTTCCTTTTAAAAAATGAATATTTGGGATGTTTAATAAATATTATTATTATTTAAACTATTATTTAATAACAAAACTAAAAAAATAAATAATGTTAATAGTATTTACCAATCATTTTATTTTTTCTGTTTGATTATAATAAATATTATTATTAAAAATAATAACATTTTTATTAATAAATGGTATTATTAACGTTATTATTTCCCAACAATAACGGGAAAATACTGTAAACTAACCAAGTTAATAAAAAAACAATTTGAAGAATGACGCTTTTTGGTGTGGGTACTTTGCAACATATTAAATACATTTTTTTCAGAAAGCAAACTGACTTTATGAATATTTCCTTAAAATTATAATAAAAGTAATTATAAAAATATAATAATTTTGTAGTTTTAAGGTATATTATTAATGATATATGTGAATATAGTATTTTATAATAGTAAAATATAGGATTTGTCAAATACTTGAAATAGAACAACTATTGATTATAGATTAATAAATTAAAAATAACTACAAAAAAATAGTTTTTGTTATAGTTTTAATAATAAAACATGTTCAATGAAGAAGTTAAATTATGAAAATGGTTTTCAAAAATTAAATTGTTTAAAACAAAGTGCATCCTAAATCTACATAATTTATATACTACTGGGACTTTAGGAAGTTTTAAAAATACTGCGGTACAGACTTTTGAACTACAGTTTATTTTAATTATTTAAAAAATTAAAAATTAATAAATATTATACAATTTTTTATATTATTAAATAATTTGAAAAACATATTTTAGGTTTTTTTAATATAATTTATTAAATATTTAGTTTATAATTATTATACAATGTATAGTTCCATATATACAACAAAAAATCGACTATCTAATTGATTTGTATTACAGTTAGTTCGGTTTTAAATGAAACAAGTCTCATAACAATAAAAATTTGTCTCATTACTTTGTATTTTGTTTGATAAAAAACAAAAGTGTTTAAAAACAAATTATGTTTTAAAATAATATCAAAATGTCTAAAAACAAAAAATAAGTCTCATAAACGTGTAATTTTATTCGATAAGGATTATAACTTTTTTTGAAACCAATAACCGAAAAAACATCAGACTTTGTTTTTGATGAAACCCGTTATAAATTTAAACACTTAAAAACAAAAAATTATTCAATCTATTTTTTTATTCATGGACAACTTCGGGTATATACCACATTCAGAATTTATGGAATTTATCGGTCCTTTGAATAAGCCATTAGACCAATTATCACTTGATGATTTACTATCGGAAGCTGCTTTTGAAAACAGTGCACAGCTAAGAACAACAACTTCTCAACCGATAACACCAATGATAATAGAAACAATAAAACTTAAAAGGCATTATGTAGCAGTGACACAAAATAAAAAAATTCTTTTTTCGTCTTTATGAAGAACATGGCATAGCAAAAAGATTCACATGTCGATCAATTCAACAAGAAATTATTTGAACAAACTTAGAAAAAAATATGGATATTACAAAATCAGTGAAAATAGGTATAAAACGCACATGTTATCTTTTGTGTCAAAATAGCATGTCACTCAGAGAAACAAAAAACAACTAGCCGAAGAAAATTGCGAATCTGTATCCATTTCAACTGTTAAGCGATACTTGAAAAATAGCGACATTATAAATAGCGTGGAACTTGAACCTCTATCTTTTACAGAAGTTACCATCAGAGGAAGAAACGCAAATTTGGTACAAAACAAAGGGTTACGAGTTTTTAGACTTGGTGAGCTAGTGCAACTTCAGAGAAGCGGATACGCAGTTGTTTTTGTAAATGAATCTCACTGGAAAGTCGGAAATGTTCGAACACGTTCATGAGGGAATCGAGGAACAAAACACATTTGAACGACATCTCTTAAGATGTTTAATTTAAACTATGTCTGTTGTATTTTATAGTCAGTAAAAAAAATATGTTGAATGTTTAATGAAACTGAAAATGGTGAGATGTTTTTGGCATCTTTTCGTTTTCTTGTTGAGCATTTTGTTGGTTTTTTGAGAAATACAGTTTTTGTTATGAACAATGCTTCAGTTCACTTAGCAAAAATAACTAGCGAAGCAAAAACTATGGGGTTTAAGGTTTTATTTAATGTCCCGTACTCTTCAAAATGTAATCCAATAGAGATATTTTTTTCGGTATATGAAAACATGTGTTGGCAAACTTAACAATGATAACGTGCTAAATATGCTTACTAATATGGCCAGATGTTTCGAGGAAAGAGAAAAAGGATAAGTTAGAAGGTGTATTGGCCATGTCATCGAACCAGTTTTGTTAAAAAATTTTTGCTCAAAGTGATCTTTAAGTATTTTTTTCTTAAATTTGAATTTTAAAACGGGTTTCATCAAAAACAAAGTCTGATGTTTTTTCGGTTATTGGTTTCAAAAAAAGTTATAATCCTTATCGAATAAAATTACACGTTTATGAGACTTATTTTTTGTTTTTAGACATTTTGATATTATTTTAAAACATAATTTGTTTTTAAACACTTTTGTTTTTTATCAAACAAAATACAAAGTAATGAGACAAATTTTTATTGTTATGAGACTTGTTTCATTTAAAACCGAACTAACTGTATTTAACAAAAAAATATACAGATGTATTTTATTTTTTAATTAATTAAAATAGTTTTTATTAATAATAATTATTAATAAAAGTCTTACAAAATACAAATTTTTATACACTGCATAGTGACCATACTGTATGGTTGTTTTTAATTATTACACTAACTAACTGAATTATTTAAACTACTAATTATATAATTTAGTTAATAAACAATTAAAATACTGAAGGTGAATTTCGAGATTGTCACGAGACAAGTAATCTTAAGATTTTTTGGGTTTAATTAATTATTTTTTGTAAATCGGCGTTTTATTTATTTCTTTATTTAGTAACAAAAAATAATATTTTTTAAAACTTTATAAAATTATTTTTTTTTCTAAATTTACAAATTGTTGAATTGATTACAGTAAAAGGAAATATGGGGATGATAAAAAGGGAGAATGCTCGTAACTATTGGTTTATTTCAATTGAAAAATAATAAAATTACTATTAATTTTAATGTAAATTATTAATCAAACAATTAATAAAATGAAAAAACCAAAATAAATTATATTAATTATTTATTATAAATAATATTAAATTAATTAATATTTAGATTAGCATCCCTTTATTTCTCAGCACCCCACTTTTCCGTTAATTGTATATAAACTGTAGTTCACAAGTCTGTACCGCAGAATTTTTAAAACTCCCTAAAGTCCCGTTTTTTTTATTTTTTATTTTTTCTAAAAAACAAAAAATCGAAATTACAAACTTAATTTTGAAAAAAAAAATAAAAAAAACAAAAACATATGTTTTGTTAAATTGTTATTTGCCGTTTTTTCTGTGTCAGTTTATTTTTCAGATATCTGTATAAAGTAAAATTTATAAAAATTGTGTGATTGAAATAATTAGATTGTTTTTGTTTATAAAAACAATTTATGTTTTTGAATGAGAATTAACATGAAAATTGTTTTTAACAACTTAAATAATATAAAATTTAAGCAATAGTTTTTTCTGTATTTGTTTATAACAGAATTTATTGGTGATCACATGTAAATTAACAACAATAATCAATAAAATACTATCTATTTTTATATATTGAAATTATAAATTACAGTTTAAAACATGGAAATATTATTTTTATTTTTAAAATAATTTTTATGTGTTTAAACACAGTTTATGTCAATAAAAACGATGTTTTGTTTGATAATAATAGTGTATATTTTACGTTTTATTAACGTAAAATTATTCATAAATAATTTGATTTTGAAGATTAATTCAAACTTCATCTATGAATCATGACTCAAATATTATGATAAATAGATGAACAAACTGTATTATTAAAAATGCGATTAGAAA